TGTTTGTTTGTTTGTTTAATCTCCCAGATAGATAGATAGATAGATAGATAGATAGAACTTTATTGTCATTGCACAGTACAGGTACTCAGCACCGAAATGCAGTTTAGCAGCTATCAGAAGTGCAAATAGTAGCATTGAGCAAACTAACAAGGTGCAGGTATATATACACTGCTCAAAAAAATTAAAGGAACAGTGAAATCACACATTGGATCTCGATGAATGAAATATTCAAGTTGAAAATATTTACTTATGTACGTTGTGTAATTTGTTGAAAACAAAATGATGTCACAATGGTCAGTGGAAGCCCAAGTCATCAGCATGAATTTCATCACGGCAGCTAATAATGTAAGTCAGTAGTGTGTATAGCCCCCACATGCCTGTATGCACTCCTGACAATGTCTGGGCATGCTCCTGATGAGATGGCGGATGGTGTCCTGGGGGATCTCCTCCCAGACCTGGATCAGGGCATCAGTGAGCTCCTGGACAGTCTGTGGTGCTACTTTGCGGCTTCGGATGCTCCGATACATAACGTCCCAGAGGTTCTCAATTGGATTCAGGTCTGGGGAATGTGAGGGCCAGTCAATGGCATCAATGCCTTCGTCATCCAGAAACTGCCTTCAAACTCTGGCCACATGAGGCCAGGTATTGTCATGTACCAGGTGGAACCCAGGGCCCACTGCACCAGCGTAAGGTCTGACAGTGGCTCTGAAAATTTCATCCTGGTACCTAAGAGCAGTAAGGGTATGGTTGGCTAGCACATGGAGGTCTGTGCGACCCTCCAAGGAGATTCCTACCTAGACCACTACCTCGCTGAACCACCGCCAAACCGGTCATGCTGGATGATGTTGCAGGCAGCATAACGTTCCCCACAGCATCTCCAGACTCTTTCACATCTGTCACATATGCTCAGTGTGAACCTGCTCTCATCCGTGAAGAGAACGGGGCGTCAATGGAAGACCTGCCAATTCTGGTGTTCTCTGACAAATGCCAATCGAGCTGCACAGTGCTGGGCTGTAAGCACAGGTCCCAATAGAGGATATCGGGCCCTCATGCCACCCTCGTGGAATCTATTTCTGACAGTTTGGTCAGAAACATGCACTCCACTAGCCTGCTGGAGGTCATTTTATAGGGCTCTGGCAGTGCTCCTCCTGTTCCTCCTCGCACAAAGGAGCAGATACCGGTCCTGCTGCTGGGTTGTTGCAATTCTACGGCCCTGTCCAGCTCTCCTCATGTAACGGCCCATCTCATACGGCCCATGTAACAGTATCTCCTCCATGCTCTTGAAACTGCTGGGAGACACACCAAACCTCCTTGCGACAGCACGTATGGATGTGCCATCCTGGAGGAGCTGGACTAACTGTGCAACCTGATTGGGTTGCAGGTACTGCCTCATGCTACAAATAGTGACAAGGACCCTAACAAAACACAAAACTAGAGACAAATCAGTCAGGAAGGATAAGGAGAGAGCAATTGTCTGTGCCCACCACCTGCAAAACTATTCCCTTTTTGGGGGTTGTCTTGCTGTTGCCTCTCCAGTGCACCTGTTGTCACTTTGATTTGCACCAAAGCAGGAGAAACTGATTCACAATCATTTATGCTTCCTAACTGGACAGATTCATATCCCTGAAGTTTAATTGACTTGGTGTTATACTTTAAGTGGAGCGGTATATATATATATATATATATATATATATATGGGTCAGGGCTGTTTTGGCAGCAAAAGGGTGACCAACACAATATTAGGCAGGTGGTCATAATGTTATGGCTGATCGGTGTGTATATCTAGATCCCTGAAGGTGTTCTGTGGTATCTGGCACAAAGACGTTAACAGCAGATCTTTTAAGTCCTGTAAGTTGCGAGGTGGCGCCTCCATGGATCGGACTTGATGGCCAAAACACCCCACAGATGTTCAATTGGATTGAGATTATCGTGCCGAAAGAGGTCACTTCCATCAGGGAATACCGTTGCCATGAAGGGGTGTACCTGGTCTGCAACAATGTTCAGGTAGGTGGTATGTGTCAAAATAGCATCCACATGAATGCCAGGACCCAAAGTTTCCCGGCAGAACATTGCCCAGAGCATCACACTGCCTCCGCCAGCTTGCGTTCTTCCCATAGTGCATACTGGTGCCATCTCTTCCCCAGGTAAACGATGCACACACACCCGGCCTTCCACATGATGTAAAAGAAAATGTGATTTATCGGACCAGGCCATCTTCTTCCATTGCTCTGTGGTCCAGTTCTGATGCTCATATATAGTAAATAAATAACAAGGCTGTGGGCAGCGAATATAGCTAACGGTGTAGTGTAGAGTTCGGTAGGGTAATGGATGTGGGGAAGAACATGGCCCTGAGCCTGCTGGTTCTGGTGTGAATGTTTCTGTATCTCCTTCAGGAAGGAAGGAGGTTGAACAGTTTTTTTGACTGGGATGGGGGAGTCCCTGATGATGTTGCATGCTCTACACAGACATCGACTGTGGTGAAGATGTTCAATAGCTGGGA